TTCTGCGCAACGTAAACGTGACCACATCTGCTTACTTATGTTTCGTCTTTTACGAAATTGTGTCCCCTCGTGCGATCACGTTTAACGTGTTTAAGAATGGCGCGGGGGGGGGGGGCAATTAACATTTCGAACAGTCGGCATACCTCAGGGTTAGCTCAGGCCGTAAATAACGGCCGATGTGGCAGCTGAATTCTAGTCCGACCCCAACTAGAACGTAATTAGAAATCCGCCGCGAGAATCATTGCCAAGTACCGGGCTGATTGGGATTAACGCGCGCTTCAAATTTAAACAATCCTCGTGAAATCAACATGAATTCGCAGGCACTCTTCGTTTTAATTGCGAGAAGCCGAACGGTGTTTCGCGCGGACTTACGTTTACCCCGCAATTAAATAGAAAATAGATTCTGGTTTGCCCCGCCCAATCTCTCTCTCTCTCTCTCTCCCTCTCTCTCTCTCTCTCTCTCTCTCTCTCTCTCTCTCTCGGCTGAGAGTCAAGCGGAATTTTCATGCGACGAGAGTTCGGTCGCTCGCGTGCGCACGATGATATTCCACGTTGAAAATTAAGAGGCGAAGGGGGGAAATATATTCGATCAGAAATTTCCTCACATATAATATATAAATATAAACGTGCGTTTATAACATATAACAATAATGATTCCTGTATCGGTCGCTAATGAGATTACGGAGTTTAAAAGTACTGAAAACGTTAAGATCGAGCGCAATATCGAATGCACAGCTGGTGTTTCTGCCTAAATGCATATTAATGAATAATGGCAATTAATAAATAAGTACACATATAAAATTGAATTTGAATAACAACGACGCGAAAATATATGTTAAATAAGTTACAATATATAGATAATTGCTTAATATTGAAATAACGAATAATAAAGGATAAACCTAAATCAGCTGTTCGGTATAATAATATGTCTTAACGCGGCAGAACGGAAGCTGTAGGAAGAATCAATTGGCCAAAACTCACGGAGGAGAGAATTACGTAACTGCGCAATACGTGAGAATTCAGCGCGATACTTATTTGTCTCGTGACGAGAAATTAACGAGAATTAACGGGTTAATAAACCTCGGTGGCGAGCATCGCATAATTCATCACCGTGGTATTCAGCACTTCGGTGAAAGAGATTGCGAAGATACTCTGGAATGCGTGTACGAGGAACATTGTACATAAAACAGCACTGGCGAGAGAGATAGAGAGAGAGAGAGAGAGAGAGTGAGAAAGATACACATAAACCGCTGATATATATTTTGAGTTAGCCAATTGCTGATACGCGGGCGACATGCGTTTATACTTTCTTGCCGTGAGACAAATCTCGAACAGAGTCTGAGACAGAAAAAGTTTTGCAGATGTTATACGTACGGTCGATTATTTATACAATATAATATAAACATATAATAAAAAAGGCTTCCCCACGGTTTTTCATAAGATACTTGCGGATTCCTTGGTCTTTCAACTGTGAGGATTTCGAGACAATGTCGGAGTCTCTCTCTCTCTGCATCTTTAAAGAAACCTTAACGTTGAGAGATGTTTAAAAAGGGGAAACCTGTACTTACTAAGAGAGTTTATCTCAGCGAGAGTATCCTCCTTCCACCGGGGCGTGTAATTTGATACTTCGAGGTGAATAATCGCACGAAATAATCCACGTGGTATGAATACGCGAATGGAATTCAGCCGTTTGGATCGCGTCTTATTCCGCGGGAGAAGAGGCCGCGTCGCGGCTCAGTTTCGCGTCGCAAAATTCGAAGCGAAACGACTATTCTTCGCCGATTAAATTCACTGACGCGTCGATTATTAATTTTGACGCGCGAGCCAATATTTATCTCCCCCCTACGCCCCCCCCCCAACCTCGTACGCCACTTTTCGCCGTATAACTGTCGATATTTATGGAGAACAACTCTTTAATACCCGGGCGCCGTCGCGGTGTCAATCGTCGATTCCGATACGGCCTCGAAAATCGATAGCCGTTTCTCGTTTATCGACACCGCGCGCGCGAGCACTTTGTGACGATCCTCTCCGATAAACTTTTTTCCCCCCACGCGGTAACAATCAAAGTTACAAATTGAATTCGCGTAACGAGCGACACCGCGAGGCGCACGTGCGCGTGAACGTGCCGCGGGGCCGTCTCGGCGGATCGTCGCGGGGAAAATCTTTCGGTGTCTTTTCCCTTGATTTCCGACACGTCGCGGATTGTTGTTTCCGTTATCAGCTGTTGCATCACGCCTCAGTGTTCTTCGAGTTCTCAATGCCACTTGTAACTTCTTTTTTCTTCCCTCACTCGGATCACTCGAGGGTATTATTATTCGTGAATAAAAAATGGAAACTTTCCACAATCGATATTTATGTAACGTTCAATTCTACTTAATGCTCTTTTTATTAACGAGAAAGCGACCTTCAGTTACGTAAGCGGGAAAAATGTCGGCGCAAGTAACGCCGACTCGGTAACCGTCTCTTCCACGGTTGATGGTAAAAGGTGATATTTATCGATTTCATCTATTTTATCTGTTGCATATATTTCTATTTCTCATCTTATTTTCCGCCTGTCCATTTTCCATCTGCGATAATATCTGTCATGTATACTAAAGAGTTTTCTCACGTGAAAGTAAAAATAAGGATAGGGAGCTCCACCCTATAAGTGACATACGCAAGTCGAGATAAAGATTAATGTTATAATATAAAATTAGAAATTCGACGATATCATTACGATATTCTCGAAAATCTCGTTGGAAATATTCTATAGAGTTGCCGTGTTATTTTACACCTCACCGTTCGCAATGCTATCGGCATTTCGCGACACGAGAAATTCTTCAAAGAGAGCAACTCGCGGGGTTAAAGATGCCGGATTTACACCTTGTTATTAATTGGACAGTTTTGCATAAACTGTACTCGATAACGCGGTTATCGATCTGTCTTATAAGCACGCTATGGGTATTACCTATTGAAGCGGGTTAAATTCGGCGCCGATATATTCGCATTAAGCGCAACCAACTTAAACGGTATGTGACGCAAATATCCGTATTAACAGCTCAAGAGGTTAAACCTGATATGTTTCCGTTGAATGCTGTATAATTGAGTGGTGTGGGTGATGCGTGTGTGTGTATTATTATTCACTTTGTTCGTAGTAATTCCACGGAAAATATGCCGGCGTAACATTTACAGGAGCAACTCCGCTTCCTTTGCGCGTGTGCATACTATATATATGTGTTAAAATAGCGCGCGCGTATCTCTCTTTACGTAACTCCCCGTCAAGTTTCAAATTGCTATTCCATTGAACCAAAGTCCGTTCGAGTAAAATTAGCCGGGAGAGACGCGCATAGCGTCTCACAGTTACCGAATTATTCAACCGATACTTAGCCCCTCTTGCGAAGAGAGACCTAAGTCCTTTGTTTCTCTCTCTCTTTTTTTCTCTCTATCTATCTATCTATCTATCTATCTCTATTTCTCGATCGGTCGTACTGGCTCGTAAACTATTGGCGCCCCGATATTCCGACTCGGCGAAAAACTGACTTCGTATCTGTCCGGGAAATCTGCCGGTGAAGTTGAAGTTGGGAGTCGCGAGACACGCGCCCCGCATATGTTCCGCGTTATACCACGTGTACCTTACAATCAAAAGTTCCCGTAGAAAGTAAATCTTTAGACTGGTATGTTTATTTACGGTAGCGCGAACCAAACTTCTTCTTCGGCTTCATCTTCCTCCTCCTTCGGCTTCGTTTCCGCCTTCTCCCACGTTTTCTCTCTTTCGCTTTCTTTCTTCTCGATTAGAAACAGAAAGGCGTGAAACGCTAACAAAATAAGATAATAATACCAGCGATGACGATGCGCGATATGAGGCAGACAGATGGCTCCTCTGGCATCAAAGGGACACTCGCGATCGCTAATTGGCGCGTCGTGGATTAATTAACGCCTCGCAATCCCATTGTGCAACAGTTCGTTTTCTACTTTCGCGAAATAACGCGTAAAACTAACGAGATCGTTAGCGGCGGCCTCGGCATTTTCGCGGAATTAATCGATCTCGCGCCGATTAATTGAATTAATCCGCCGACCCATCCCGCACATTTCTTTCTCTTTCTCTCTCCCTAACCTTTTTTGTATTTCCGACTTCTTGAATAAGTAAAAATTATATCGATGTAAAAATCGAGGTAGATCAATAATGCCGAATTGACGAGACGGTTCATGCGGAAAAGGGTTAATTACACGTTGAGAAAACCGGAAAAAATGAATACCGCACGCAGCCGCCTGAAAATTATGTGTCGAGAAAAACTTTCAAAAAATGCACTCGAAATCTTTTTCTTTCTTTAAAAAAAATATATACAGTTTAAAAGTATAATTAAATGAGGAGATCCTTCAATTGATGATCTTTCGATTCTTTGAAACAATGGAATTTATACTGCATTTTAATTTATTTAAAAAATTCCGGTTTTCTTGAGATTATTGCATTAAATCTTTCTGATATTTGTTGCGTAACTTTCTCCCTCTCTCTTTCTCTCTTCAATACTTTTCATCAAGATATTCCTCGGAGAATATCTCTAATTTTGTAAACGTTTTCTTTATTATTCTTGGCCGAGTGACACGTTTAACCCTTTGCACTCGAGGGCTCCGGAGCGGAGGCATTTAAAATTTATCTTCAAACTCGAGGGCTCCGCTATGGAGACAATGCAAATAACTTTCAGTTCATAACATAAGGACAAAGACAAATCGTAAAAGCTATTGTATAGGATATTCCGCTCTTGCTATTTGCATTTGAGTTTGAAGAGTTTGAAGACAAATTTTAAATGGCTCCGCTCCGGAGCCCTCGAGTGCAAAGGGTTAACAACGTAATGCAAGGCGCCTCATAATGTTCTCGAATAGTACTTTATATACCAACTCTTTCGAAGCGTGCGCGTTAAGTTTAAGGGATTGAATCGACTCAAAAATGCATCCCGATATTTTCCTCTCACGCTAATTATCTGATTGTTGTTTGAACGATTCTTTTTTTTGCTCTGTTACAGGCGATGAAGATGAGCAAAGTGGGTAATCAGACCAATTCGCAGGACCCACAGGCGGTGAACTCACGCGTCTTCGTCGGGAACCTGAACACGTTTCAGTGCAGCAAGACCGATGTCGAGCGAATGTTCCAGCGTTATGGCCGCCTTGCTGGTGAGCTTATTGTGTGAAATTTTTCATAATCCACAAAATAAACTAACGGAAGTCCGTTCAAAGAAAAGGCTCTAAAAATTGTACTCTCCATCTCCATCGCGAATCTTCGTTCCTCGAAAATACGTCATAAATTTGATACGTTAAAAAAATAACAAGTACGAAAGTGAGAACTTGAAAATTGCTTTATGAACGGTCGTCTAAGAAATAAATATAGTCTGAATGGTGAGTCGTTCACATTCGTTCAAAAAAAAACTCCCCTTCGGAAAAGTAAACACGCTTAAATAGAGACTGCTTAAACATTCGCGGTACACTGAAATGGCACCGAAATAGACCGAAATCGGTAAGTTAAAAATACGCAAGTAACATGATCTATTGATCCATTGCACATTTATAGGTTGGAATATTAGGAAATGAATCAAAGAACATTTATGGAACGCTCGTCTGAAATATTCAAATGCTTCGTCAGCGTGTCGACTATGAAAATGATTATGAAAGTATTTGACACAGTTTTTGAAGGGTTTCGGCAGACTAATAATAAGATCTCCGAGGTTAAACGTCGACGAACAGACATATGTTGAGATGCATAATGAGATTATGTCGAACATTCGGTAAGAGAACGAAGTTGGAAAGGCAAAATTTGCTCGTCAAAACGACGAGGGATAATTTAATCCGATACGTTTCGCACTGTAAAAACGAACGAACGGGATTTCGTCATTTTCGAATTTGTTCTCCGACTTTGCTTCGGGCGTTTCCGACAAATCGAATCGCGTGAGAAATCGGCGGTCCGAGAACAATCGATAATTCGCGATCGAATAACTTATTATCCGGCCCGGAAAAATTGCATCCAGGGAAGAATAGCGGCGGAAGAGGGGCAGCGCGCGGCCCGGGGAAAATAAGATCCCCGTAACGCAATTTGTGCCACGACGACTTGACCTTCGATAGCTCGAATTGGATATCCGTCGGTCTCCAGTTTCAGGAGGAGGAGCGCTACGATGACTGCGCCGCACTGTCCCCCCTCACCTTCCTTTGTAAGCCGTAACCTCGTTTATCCCGCAATCGCAGGATTTGTTATCCCGGAAAATCATTTTTCCCACGCACGGAAACTCACCTCTCCGGGAAACAAAATTACGACGGCGATCGGAGATAATAAATAGAAAAACGATGATAAGTGATAAGATAGCCGAAAATGACAGTGCGATCGAGATGGAGCGCGGAAGATCGGCGGTAATGCGGCAAATTGTTCTATTGAATTTATCGCGAATGATTCTCGCGAATCAACATACCGGTATATATCAATATATAATAATAATAATCATAGTTATTATTATTTCTCATTATTATATATATATATATATATAATGTTTATTGGAACCCATGAAAAAATTCACATATTACCAGAAATGAACACTTTTCTATTTCTTGAACACCTTCAATTCTATAAATTGAATTTCAATGTCGGACAGCCCATTTCGACGGCAAAACAAAAGGCAAATTTCCGACATCATTAAATTATATTATTCGAATTAAAACTGTGTGTGTTATTTTGCTATCTTATCTACCGTGTTATAGAATTAAAGGTTCAACGTAGAGCTAAAATTTCCATTCAGGACGCCTGTCCAATTTCGATGCTTGTTGCCTGCGAGGGGCGACCAAAAGGTGGGTGCAGCAGTGGAGCTTCCCACCTGTTTCTCTCATCAAGTGCAAGTTATTCTCTCGTCAGTTCAAGTTTGGAAGCGCCGGGCCTCCGATTAAGAGAAAACCCGTCGATCGCAACATCAGTTAGTCCGGCAGAAGTACTGACACTGAAATTCTGACGAACGCAGCATCCCGCCCGGGAGACTCCCAGAGGATTAGAAATGCCGTGGTATTAGCGTCGGGTGTCCTGCCGCCGGCAATATCGGTGTCGCGACGCCAGGCGTCGCCGGACGTCACACCGGGAGGTAGTTATCCTGTCCGGCGATCGCAATTCCGAATGTCGCGCGTCGAAATTACAAGGAGCTGCCGGCTGCCGATAAACAGCTTACTTTCTCAATAAAGGACTACGAAGACAATAAGGCCGCCGAGTTCGTTCTCGTTGGAATTAAGGCGCTCGACGGATTAGCGGGACGCCGATACGAAGGATAAGCCGTGCCCTGTCGTCCTCTTCCTCCTCGCGAACCGGGCGTGCTTCGCGCGCGATAACGAACAAATTACAAATTCTACCAATCGAATATCTTTTTGGCAAACAGCATTTAATGCGAGGATATATACCTGCCGGATCGCGCCGCTATCGGAGATACCCAGTCGCTCGGGGATCCTCGATGAGAGAAGAGGATATCGCGCGGCCGATTCCGTTAATTTTTCCGCGTGCGCGCCGTATTTTCGAACGCCGACCTGTAAAACCCGGGGATCGTCGAGTGCGCGCGCAACACGAAATCGAAAAGCTTTAAGTGCCGGCGCTTCCGCTGCAGCATTGTTTAAAGAAAGAACAGCATGAAACGCGCTTGTTTCAACATTTGAATGCGGATGTTTTTACGAGCCGCCGAGGATTGAAGTGTCTCGCCGGGCAGTCGGCGAGTCTGTCTCTCGTCGAGCGATGTCGCGAATTGTTCGTCGGTTAGGCTGGATTTGCGACAGGTGTAGTAAGCCTTCCAGCCTTTTCGTTCCGAGCACTAAATTGCAACGGAATTTTTAGCAAAATATGTCCGCTGCGTTACCAGACGTCGCGATTCCCAAGATTTGAAATAGTTGTATCGTTGAGTGCCGGATTTTCAGTGGCGATATTAAAGAGCCTCCATATAAGTTTAATGTTTATTAGAAACAATAGTTTCTTATAGCTTTATTTAATTATATAAATAATCAATGTTAATTTTGGGCGAAACAAAGGAAAATATATATTACAAACACAATATTACAAATTCGGGGATATTATTATTTATTTTTTAATGCTTCATTTATACGCCAGCTGAGCTAATAGAGATGCATAGCTAATAGAAAGTAATATGTAAATATTTCAATTTGCGTACACATGCGCATATATTCGAGTATTACCACAAATTGCAAATTTCCTATGGCTATGTTTCCAATAGTGGCCAATAGTGGCCAATAATTCCGACATGTTTATATAGTGTCTTTATATTAGTCCTTAATATCATATTATATTGTCATTAGAATCCTAAATGTGGTTTAGAAAGAATGACAAATAGAAGTTAAAAATAGGACATTAACTTCAAGAAATACGTGTAAAAAGTGTCATCTGTAGTTGCGAATGTCTCCAACTTCCAAATGATCAGTCTGTTTATAATTACGCCAATAATTAGGTCATATTTAAATCTACATATAGTGGAAGTTTCAACGAACTCTGAAAAAATTCATTTTATGCTACGACCATCTTAAGCGTTGCTACGACTTTTGGCAGCGCGTCTTATGTGAGAAATCGCGTTACGTTTTATTGCTCAGAGAGAAAGGCTAAAGGCTTACTACACCTGTATTGTAAATCCGGACTTAATCTCGTGTGTATCAGGTCGGCGGGTTCGGTTTTCGATTTTCGAAGCGGAAGACGTCACGTGCCTGCGAAATACGCGGCAGCGAACGTTCGATATTGTTCGGCGGCCGGAACGTGAGCGACGGAACGTGGAGAAACGAGAGGGCGATTGTTTGATTGATAAATAATTTGCTGCCATTGAATACGATGAAGTCCGATTTGATTGAGGAATTTGATCGCCGAACTGCCTTCGACTAACCCGAGCCGGTGAATTCACGGAGAAGGACAGCGCTCGAGGGCCCGAAGAAGTCGCGAGTGAAACGCGAGAGCCCGATCGATCGATCTCCCGTTTCGTCGTGGGAAACTCGATTTCCAGTTGTCCGAAGGATCTAAACGGAACGAATGGCGATATTTCCGGGACACTCTGTATGCGAGACTGTGTATCGGAAGAAATCGTCGCCGGGATGATTTAAATCTGCACTGTCGAATGCCCAGATAACAACAACACTAGAGATAGAGATAGAGAGAGAGAGAGAGGGTTCCTCTCTCCACCGACAAGTTTTCCAATATAAAGTCGATATTTGTTCTACACAAATGCCGGAAACATTGGAAAAATTCGCTGCAACGCGGCCCTCAACGCGACGCTGCCGTTATCGCTCGTCACTTTGCAAAAAGAGAGAGAGAGAGAGAGGGACAGGGAAAGAGGGAAAGAGAGAGAGAGAGAGAGAGAAAGAACAAAACTTAGTTACGGAACATACAAATAATTGTTAATAAAGAATGCGGGCTTGTGTATTAGTCGCGGAGAACTCTATCGAATCGAGCTTCGATTTCCATTTTTCGATTTCGGCGTTTGGCTCAATCTTGTTGCGCGATTGAATTTATTCGTGCGCGCGCTTGGACTCGAAAGAAACTCGAGAGAAACAGAGAGAGAGAGAGAGAGAGTGAACGCGAGCCCCTCCGCGTGAATCTCGAGACGCTGTTATCAAACGGAATAATTGCGTAAATCAAGGAATCCGCGGTCGTGAGAGGAAAATAACTTCGAGCGAGAGAAACAGAAACAGACACAACAGAGAGAGAGAGAGAGAAAGATACGACCGAATCGGGCGTCGTATCAACCATCCGCACGTATACTTCTCGCACTTACCGGTTGCGCATTTTCGCTATCGCGGTTTTTACGGCTAGAATAAATTCCGCCGCGGAACGATCTCCCGAGCGCCGATATCGAACTCCCGCACACCCGGGTCATGCACAAATGCACACATAACACCCTTCGTCCCCCCCCCCCCNCCCCCCAATTCGTCCCTCCCACGTCCCTACTACGTCCCCTCGGACCCCCTTACGTATGACAAGCGCGCAGACAGCGATTTAAATTCCGGAATAAACGTTACGGCGAGACGACGACGGGAGTTACGTTACGAGGATCGAAGATCGATACGATCGACACGGGGATCTCCTTTCGACCGGGCACGCCACTCCGCTGCAAAATGATAGCAAAGGGGGCGCGCCGGGATTAAGCTTTGAGATATGGGGATGATGTAGTGCTTTATGTATCGGAGAGTCGAGTTCCGAAGCGCTAAATGTTTCGAGAGATCGACGGGATCGCCACGCGACACGTTGATAAATTCGCTCTCGCCGTCGGCCGACGGAAAAATTGATAAAGATACGTGATACGAAATCAATGGAAAGGAACGGACGGGGCGGGGGTGGAAGGGGAGGAAGGAATCGAAGTAGAAATCTTTGGATCGAGAGATTAGCTAAGAGGGGAGGGGGGATGTCGAGACCGGCAAGGTTCGCCGATATTTCGAGGCTCCCTTCCGACCGGTGTGTTTCAGCGATCCGTTTTTCGGCCATATTTATTTTGCGGCGCGGTTGCACGCTGTTGTTTTTCAGGTTTCTCGGCACAGCCTAGGTATATTTAATTCGAGGTGTATTTTCGACGGAGATTTTTCACGGATACAGGTCAAAGGTAGCGCGGGGTCCCGTGATTTTATAAGCGTACGTGGGAAAAAATATCAGGAGAAATCACATCAATGGATATTAGCCGGTCGTCAGGATTAAATTTACATCGCCGACGGTCGCGGATAATACTTGATATAACCGGACGACGGTTTATTTTCTGGATATCTGCGGGAAATCGGGCATATCGACGGAGCTACTTCGAGGTACGCCGTTTCGGTAGCGAGTGGGATAAAGTTGAGTCTCGAATGAAGCCGGCCGATTGATAATGCGTTAATGAAAAAGCAACGTGAACCAATGTAGCGGCGAAGAAGGATCCGCGATACACGATGTCGAGTGACAAAAAGTCGGCGCGCGTATTCTTTTTCACCGCGGATTCTACGAGCAGTCCGGCCCCGCGGTCGCTTTTAGCCGGGCAAGAAATCCGAGAGACACTGCGACAGCAGCACGAAAATCGACGTCCGGCGAGTCAAATTCCCGCCGGACGGCTGATGTAGACATTTTTCATAAACACGGGACAGCTGCAAATTGAGCGCGAGAATCTGTTACCGAATTCCGAGTTATTGAGCAGACACATTTTCATCGTTGTAATATGCTACGGAAAGAGAGAAAAGGCAATGGAAAATTCACCTTGACGCTGAAAGAAGGTATCGCGGAAGAAAGAAGGAGATTCACGTGGCGCTTCGATTCAATTTCAGTTGTATGGGGAGTCGATTTTTGGCTGTGAGAGGCAATTCTTATCTCCGTGTGAAAACCAAAAAAATTCTCACTCGTGATGAGTACTAATAACATATTTACTTATACATATTTACACTGAAAAAATGTCCATTTCAAATGAAAAACAAACGTGTTTTTGAAACCGTAGCTCTTCATGGAAAAGACCATCGTTCGGTTTAAATAAGAGAGAGATTCACGAGTAAATATGTTATCTGCGTTGAATAAATATTTTTTTATCCGTTAGATATACTTCCGCCCGGTGTAGGCATTTTGCACTTGGCATTTGGGAAAAAGAAGGAAGGAAGAGACGGAAAGGGAAAGATTTACGAACGCACCGTCGAACGATCTAATTTCGTCGCTCTGTTACATTAGTCGATTTTAGGTGGAAATTCAATTGCTTTTAAAATTCCTTTACTCCCGGCAGCCGGGGATGCGGGGGGAGGGGGGAGGGGGAGGTCTATTGAAGAATGAGTCGATAACAACGGCAACGGTGAAAACTATGAACATCTCGTTCGAGCGTTACAGCCGAGCTTCGGCAGTGAAGCGGATTCGCGCGTGTACCGCGTATTTGCATTCCGAAACGCGCACACATGCCTGCGCGCGCGCGTATGCATGTGTGTCCATATGTGTGTGTGCGTGTGTGCGCGCGCGCATGCATGTGCGTGCGGAAGGGGTGAATGCCGGCGTTGCGCGTGTAGGAGTCAGATTTACATATTTGTTTCGGCATAATGAATTCCATGCATGGTCAGCTGCTAACCACGCAAAAGTTATTACGGGTACACAGATTACAGGTCGCGTCCGCGTGCGACTTGCCGCGCGGGCAAAATCGGCCGGCAACAACGCGCTCTTGTTTTTATTAATTTGGTTTGCAAAAATGTTTAATATTCTCTCCCCCGAGTTGTATTTAATCGTTTGGAAATTTCGTTATTTAATTTTGAAATTTTTGCACTCCCTTGCGCGACTGAAGTTTATTCAATTAAATACTCTTCCGTATATTTATACGGGAAATTTTGTCGTGAAAAAAAAAACTAAAATGTACGAAAAAAGGGGAAAAAGTGGGGGTCAATTTGTGGGAAAATATCGCGTCGCTGAGTGAAACCGCGCGCGGTGTACGCGTCGCCGAAGTATCCTCGTGCATTTCTATTAGATGAACACGCAAAGTCCAGAAAAATTGTAATCTCCGGACCCGAAAGCGGGGCAATGTCTCGAAAGAAGGAAAAAACACAATCCCGACAACGTCGCGAAATAGGACTTGTACGAAACATTTGGAGAGCATATAATGTCCTGAGACCCAAAGTTACTCCAAAAGTCATCATAAAAGGAAAATATACCGAAATACAATTTTACACCAAAGCATCTGAGAATGTGTAAAATACTGCCGGAAGTCATGATTATTTTCGGTACATATCCACCTTTCTCTCATTTATAAATTTCCCTGACATTAGTGTTTGTAATGTAAGGTAATATAATGTACAATAAGTATATAATTAATAAAAAGTAAAATTTATTATTAGTAAAAGCGTATAATTTATAAGAAAAAGTATGGAAAGAATTGAATCCTTCATCGAGATTTTAATGAATTTTCGATATATTACAGCGCAGCTAAAAATATATATTTTTATACGGTACTTGTACTACGTCTGCCGAATAAATATTACGAATCATTTTATTTTTGTTTTAAACAATTTCGAAAATCAATATCATTATATACATGATATCGGTGTAGAATTTTTTCTGATTTAAGTTCCCATAAAAATCGCAAAATTCGCGATTGACGAATGGAATTGTTATCTTCAAAAAATGTAATATATTTTTAATATCTGAATGGACCGTTACAAAGAGCATCAAATACCATAAAACCTTCGCCCGGAATACTTTTTTCATTTACTCTCTACAATTTTGAAGATATTCGAACGCGATGAATTTTACTGAATTTCCTGCGAACAGCTCTTGCAATCCCTAAACGTGCTCTCTCGCACGTATTTAATATTTATTGTAATATATATACATGTCTCGTATTTATAATTGCTCCGCGACATATTCGAAGCCCATGAAAATCCGTGACGGACGCTTTTACACAGACGGATGAAAAAAAGAAACAGTTTGAATTTATATGAAATGAATAAACCAGACGCGTTTCGGTTGAAGAAAACAGAATGATTGTCAAGATTAAATATGGTTTATACGAATCGGCGATTCTATTGCCTTCATTTGAAGGAAATCGAATTTCTTTGCTTCGTTCATATCAAGTAAACTCAATTTTGCTTTTTTTTTCTCCTGTGCATGTTCGTTCGGCCTGACAGTCCGCCGAGTTATGAATGCTGAATAATGGTGGAAGTAATCGGCAGCTCGCGCGTGTCTCTCGAAAACGACGCACGCGCCAGCCGTGATAAACATTTTAAGATTCCGACGGGAGCGCCTCCCCCGTGTGAATTTATTCACTCCCGGCGAATTGTGTTTAAGCGAGTCTCTTGTATTGTTACGACAGGTATTTCCATGCACAAGGGTTACGCGTTCGTGCAGTTCACCAATCCCTTCGACGCGCGCAGTGCGTGCCTCGGCGAAGACGGCCGCACCGTACTCAGCCAGATTCTCGGTGAGTGACCTTTCATTGTTTCGTTATATTATGCGGAGTTCATTGAGGAGGAGGCCGCGAGGCGGGATTAAGCGTGTCGTAATCCCGGCAAAACTGCCTGACCCTCCGTTTAAAATTTCCGCGCGCGGCCCCACAGCACCGTGAAAAGCTGCGAACGGCTGTAGCCGTACTGTGCGTTAAAACACATTTCTGTGTGGAACAAAAACCGGAGAGAACGGAAAAGAAAAGCGGACGCGAAACGTACTTTCTCGCGCGCTTTCTGCCGAGGGAAATTAAGTTCCTGCACCCGCGACTTTGCAATTCTAATAATTAAGAAATTGCCGGGTCACACGTACTTAATTTTTCCTCCCTTCCTCCTTTCGCCTTTTCTTTTTTACACGGGAAAACGAGATTATTTATTCATGGGGAATTTAAAGCGACACGGTTACGACGGTGAAGGCCTTTTTTATCGACACATCGATACACGCCGGCACTTTGTAAAGCAATAATGAAACACACAAGGCGGTGGGGGGGAGGGGGAGGGGGAGGGAGATGGGGTCTGCATTAATATGCAACGAAGCGGAACACGTCGGCAATATGAAGGATCACTTTGACGCGATCATTTATTCAACACTCGACGGAGAAAGTGTATCTCTCTCTTAGCGTCCCGCCGCGAAACGACGCTTACCGTCCTCCGTAAGACATATTTATGACTTGTGCGAAAATGTAAAAAGCGTCACGAGCCTGTGATAGGTATCGAAAGAGGGATATCGTGCCGCCCTCCCCCCCCCCCTTCCCCTCGGTAAGGNTGAATTTTTCAGGCAACATTGTACCGCTTCTTTCAATGGAAATGTTCACTTTCGCAATTTTCAAACTTTTAGCAAGATTAAACTTGCACGAGTCCTTTTTACACGTCTTATTAGAGTCTGCGGCGACACTTAGGATTTATGGGACTGATACCCGTCATTTAGCATCGTACCGGAGGCGAATGAACATTAATAAATGAATATTCTAGATCTATTGTCAAACGTCATTCATAATAAGTGAAAAATCAAAGCGATACTGAAAATACTACCATTCGTGGGTGATTGTTTAATTCCGATTTGAAGCGAGTAATTCATCCTATATCAGTGAATTCCCATTAATCCCATTAAAATCAGAGTTATTTGCGGGCCTTAACTATATCTTCTTCCAGTTCTAACTCAAAAATAGTAGTAGCAATATGCGTGTAAAATTGTCATCACCGACTCTGCGGTGACACGGTTTCTCAATGTTCATTCTCCATTTCGCTTCTCGTCAAATACGTCAATTGCGGAATCTCGTAATTCCGGAGTGGGAACTCGGGATGCCCGAAATATCTGAGAGACACGACACTGTCCGGCACACAGTGTGCAAAAATATTCGCACGCGGGGACAAGCGAGCGAGAATTGTTCTCGCGCTATAACCAACGTCGCCGTCTGACGTCGTAATCCGGCGTAGCTGACGCGGGTAATGCCGGGGCCCTTAAGATATTAAATTAGAAACAGCGCATTCGCATTAGGAGACGCGCACAACTGCAGAAGCCCGGGGTTGCGGCCGGCCGGCCGACCGACCGTAGGAATATATCCCGTCGCTCTCTCCGCTCGGTTATGACACACGGCATAAACCGCGTCTTACAAAGGCAGAGCCGCCGTGAATACCGCACGCGTGAAATAAACAAACGGTGACCGGAGGATTGGAACTCGGGATTTATCGTCCGGTGTGCAGCCGTATAACGCGGTCGAGCGCGCGCCCCATTCGTCGCCGCGTATTCCGGTGTCGCGATAGCGAATCGCGATATTAAAGTGCATCGGGTCGGGCGTTCGTGGCGCGATGTCATTAGCGCGAATCTTACCATCGACGGCAGCTTCGTTAATTTTAACGGCACGATCGCGCCCAGTCGCGCGCGAATATCGCGGACGCATTAGCTCTGCCGGTCGTCCGTCCTCCTCGGCTGATTCCCCGTCATACTCGCGCATCCGTACACCGTGCTAACATTACTAATTAGCCGGGCGAGTAGATGCGCGCGAGTGACCCACGAAAGTATTCTCGTAGATTCAACAGGAATGTCGCGGACGGAAAACATCGTTCGGAGGCGAATTTTGTACCGTCGTGAAATTTTGTACCGTCGAAATGAATATATACCGGGTGTTTCTCAAGTGACGTTTGCGATATTTTAGGAGTTAATCTGCAAAGTAATTTTCTGAGGGAAAGTTCACACGAACGTGTGTAATTTTCCCTCATGAAAAGATCTCAAAAATCGACTCCTTAAAAGGTTGGATAGCACTTCGGAAACACCCTGTGTATTTACTTATTTTCCACGACGGTATAAAATTTGTCGTCCCTCCAAAATTATTATTTTTTCTTTTCGTACAGGTCGATAATGTACACAGAGGAGATTTTTTTGGGTTTGATGAATTTCATCGAGGTCGAATATAAATTTGATCGTCGGGATGGTGCGAATGTTTCAATCAATAAATACGATTGACCTTTCGAGTAATTTCGTCTCTCGCGGAAAGAAAATCGTCCCGCTTTGTTTTCTCATTTTGCTCGAGAAACTCGACCATTTCGTTTGAATAATTATAAAAAATCTGACGTTCCACTTTTTGCGTCATCTGACATCTTTCCATGTCATAGGGTGTGCCCCCTCCTCCCTCCCTTCCGTCGTGGTTTCCTCTATTGATCCATTCATGGTTACCCATCAGGTTATTAACCATAGGCCGCAATGCCTAATTTCTATGATCGAGCAGGAATTAGTGCCAATGAGCTCTGACGATGTCCTTGTGGCTACTGCTTATAATGCATTCTCGTAACGTTAAAGAAATATTGCGTAACACCATGCTTATTGACGTTAAAAATGTTAAAAACAATGCAATAACAATCAATATGCGGCACATATATTGACAGAATGAATGTATATTGGCGAACCAGCGCGACTGCCGTGATTGTTTTTGGATTTTCAACCAGACATTACAACGGTTATTTCATGCACTAAATTAGTTTGAAAAAACGGTACATGAAACAATGTTTTTTTTTTCCGGCCAAATAACATGGTCCGATTCGATGAAAGGAAATGACTTATAAGACTATTTCAATATAACGAATCTGGGTCAAACGAATCGGAATGTTAAATGCGAAGAAATCCTCTTTCCCTCCCTTTTTATTTCTATTTATCAGCAAGAGACGACAATATGCAAGAATAATACAATACGAATAAGTGCTAGATTCTCAAATTGATGAAAGCACAACAGGTTAGCCAGATTTAAAATCACGACTGTGCGAATGATTCCCAGATCGGATGCGGAAAATGGCCAGGTCGGGTAATTTCGGACATACGACCGTATTTTCACGTTGTGAAAAACTTCCCGAGGCGATCCCGAAAGAGGACACTCTGCTCGATCCGGTCGATCGAATATTTTAGGCAACCATCCCTCGACCAATGATCGCGCTATGTAGAGCGATGCAACACTTTCACGCTAACCATTTGCGGCTGTGCGTCCACTCTCAACCCTCACAGCACTTATTCCATTTCCATTGTTGTATAGAATGCAAAATTTTGTGTTAAAGCTCCTCGCTTTGTCCTTGTTTGATGATGTCAGAAGCGGGAAATCGCATGCTAAAATATATTGCGGTATACGTAGAGATAAAAGAATAAATGAACAAAATAATACTCGTGGTCGATTCAGCACATTTGTCAAAATGTCCGGGCGCTCATAGCGAGAACTTAAGAGCCTTAAAAGTGGTCCATTGAAATTTCTGTGTTACTCTGACACGGGGAATATATTAACAAGTGTATAATTATATATATATATATATATATTAATATATATTAAATTATATTCTCCTTGTCAAAGCAGCACAAAAACTTCAGTGGACCGTTTCTAACACAAAATTTTCTCCTGCGTATATTAAGTTCCTTGCGTTGAATGTAACGTTTATCAGAGACGTCGTGCTTCCGCGAGCCAGATGTACGCGTTGTTGAAGCCCGACTTAATCAGGCATCATGATAACGAGAATCTGAAAAAAATTGCAAAACATGCATAAAAAGTTTAAAAATTACAATTCTTCATTTTACTTGCATCTGACGTTTGTTTAATCGGCGTATCACACGCGGTATCGGTCCATCGAATGACAATTCCGACCAGCGCACGGAAAAAATGCCATTGTCATCAACAGAATTGGCACCAACAACACCATAATTTGGGCAAATCTCGGCTCAACGGCAATATTGCGGGAACCAATGTACCATAACTAACACATACATAACATACATTATTTCAATAACTCGAGTATGAGTTTCGATAATATTGCTAACCAAATAACGCCAATTGTGGTGGCGTTGCGTCGATTCTATCGATGCGACATCACTTTTTCCTATGTAAGACATCCCCCCCCCCCCAATCCGATCTGCAAACACGACCGAAGCAAAGGGCTAATCGTGCGCGCGACAACCCAAGATCGGTGGAGTTTCGTTCGCCATCTATCTGAAAAACGTTCATGAGCTTCTTGAACACGCCCGTGAGATTGTCGCATCCCGCTATACTCGTCCCCCGTAATCCATGTCCTCCGTGTCCTACACGCCCCACATATGCCGCCTCTCGAATATCGAAAGCGCGCGCATCGGTATCGAATTTTTCAGGGCGTTCTCTTGCCTCTGTTGATACGCCGCCTTGCCCTGCTGTATAACCGCCATCGCCGGCCGATCTTTTATCCGAGTGTTTCTCACCGGCATGCATTATGCCGGCGAACGCGTGAATGGACGCTCTTCCTCCCCAACTCACTCTCCTCCCCTCCCCCCTTCCCACCCCCGGCTTTCTGCACCCTTACTCGCAATTCACGTCTGAGTGGCACCGGGTAAACACGCGCGTTCGTCTCTATGCGAACTTTCGCAATTTTCGCCGACTATTAATTTCCGCCTTCAGGTTCACCGTGTCGCGTTGTTCCCCGCGAATTTTTCACGCGCTTCGCGGCGAAACGCGCGCAATTCGATCGAATTGTCTCG